TCTAGTCCTCCAGTGGATGTGAGTAGGTTGCATGGTTCATATTGCATGAGAATGCTACATATAATCATGCATAGAACCCTACACTCCAGCAGACAGCACAAACCCTGGGCCCGGCTGCGCAATTCACAATCTAACTCGAAGGCGTCCCGTGCCATGTGCAGCACATGACTGAATGATCAGAGCACCCCACATGCAGAGCTGAACAGCGTAAAACGTGGGGCATGTGGGGCTGGGAGACACCTTCTGGCAGCAATGTAGCAAGGTCGAGGAGGGTCGACATGCGTACCTGTCGCGATAGCACCCATGTCTTTCATTCTTATATAGAGGCTTTGAGGTTATGGTAGGGAAATGGGAGACTATGAAGCATGTGTGGTATGATCCCAGACCTAGATCGGGATGTATATGTGTAATTAACTGGGAATGCTGTATTCTGCTCGGTTCGGGCCTTTCACTGGGATTTTAAGCACTTAAACAACTCAGACACGGCGTACCAAGATCGAGTATGTTAAAGACCACATCGATAAGGTTTTGGGTGTAGGGCAATTGTGAATTAAGGATCCAGGTTATTTCGATCGAGGCTCACTAGTTCGTTTTTTGTTTTGGGGATAAGTTGTATTCCCAAACCCGAACATCCTAAGAACAAAACCCCTGTATAGCTACCAGCCCTCGCATATCTAACCCCCATACTTGAAGTCAAATACAACTGTCCTTGCGCAGCCTCAACTTCAAGAAAAATCCGCCCAACCACTATTTTACTACGAGTAGCCCTAAATTGACCCCTGCCGCATTGGGGCACTGCCACTCCACATCTGCAGGCTGACCGCCATGGTCACCGACGAGACCGAGCAGTACATCTACATCTTAAGGTTTAGGGGATATAGTCTCTATCCCTAAAACTATATACATATATATTAGGGGTTTAAATTAGGGGATGGTTTGATTAAGCGCAACTATATTTGCGTCTTATGTTTGCCCGAACCTGAAGCAGCACCGGGATGAACCTACAATGCCACCTCGTTCGAACACAATGGACATATGCACATAGGTACGTATGGATATCTTACAAAGCACACGTATATGTAGACATATATGGAATGAGGACTGTGTCTATGTATGTACGTTCCTAGGCTATATGTACACAATTAAAGAGAACTCCGCAAGCCTATCGTGCTTCTCTATATGCTGTCGACGTTCGACTCAAGAAGTCGATCGCTGAGCCTCGTGTGGCTCTGTGGCCGGCGATGATCATAGATTGACCCACATAGTGCATGATTCCATTCCACAATCGGTCGCGACTGATCAGCCATATGGCCTATATGCTATACCACACTCCCATAGACGGAGCTGTTTCAGCAGCTGGGGGCCGAAGCCTTGGAGATATACAATATAAAATACATAAATAAGTATATATATATATACATAAATACTTATATATATATATATGTATATGTACGTATATATCATATATGTATTTAATATGTCTGGGTCGAGTTATGAGCTACTGCCAAAGCCTTAAAATGCCCATATATATATATATATGGATGGGCATTTAAGGCTTTGGGCATCTTTCTTATTTTTTCACGGTGCCATCGAGCCGAAATTGAGAATTTTGTCTTCTGGTATTTGAGCCAAAATGTGTACGAAAATATCTAGAGCCATAGGTTTTTAAGCAACCACTGGCAATCGTGATCAAATAATTAATATTTCTATTAATCGGATCGTGAGGGCGTGGAACGTTTGGACCACACAGCTAAAGTGTGAAAAGACATATCTTTTCACAGAAACAATCCCCAAGCACAGAGTGAAACTTCACAGACCCTTGGTTGTCACGCTGTCTATTTCACATCCCGTGAATTTTTGTGAATTTTCAGGCCGTGTGAATTCACACCCGTTTTCATGGCTTTTTGTTTTTCACGGCCAATGTTTTTTTTCACGGCCTTTTGGCCATGCGACCTACGGCCACCTAAATTAAGGCCAAACCAACCCCCAGGTTGCTCTGTGGCATTCGTACCTCACCCGGCGTCAGATGCAGAGACCGTACAGTAGTGGTAGCTGTTCGAGTGCAGGTGGGGACGAATCAGGCGTGTAGTATGAACTGCATGGACTCCAGAAAGCGCAGATGAGGGACCTGCTATGGCGCAGGACCTAAAACGCGACGCTAGTAGTGTGAGCACGACACCTGCAAGGACCTAGAACCAACATCAGTAGGGTGAGCTTGAAGCCCTAGGCTTGGTTCGCCTCCGTGGTCGATCGTGCGCATCCTTAGTACTCCTTGCAGCAAGCGTATGCTCCTCATGGCTCAATGGCTCAGGTGTTTTTTCGACGCACAATGAAAAGCCCAAACCCCAAACTGTGTGCTGATGGACTGGCCAGGCTCCCAAGGACGCGAAATTGAAAGCGCCCAGGAAGGCGGGAACCTGACACGCT